TAACTTCATGTTAAGGAAGACTTTTCCCCCTAAGTACACAGGTTAGCTGCATGACCTTACCCAAACCATTTGCCAGCATTGTCCTTCCTCACCAGCAGTTTTCTTACTCAACACATCCAAGTTATGGACATGACAAAAGAAGTCCCACACGGGTGCAGAAGCTCTACAGACACAGCACATCTTTAGGATGCCACCTCAGTTGAGTCACCCACAGAGCCACACCATCAAGAAATCAGAAGCACAGCATTTCAGGAAAAAACACACAGTGTCTCCCCAGGCAGCCATGGATTCAGCTCAGATAGTCCAAAGACACTAACAGCAAATTTAGGCAATTTTTATTGAACACCAAGTTAGACGGGCTTGTCCCCTTAACCTCCAAAACAAGGTTCCTTACTTATCCTGGATCTGCAGCATTTATTTTTCAGTTCCTAAATCCAATTGCAAATCGGCTATATCCTAAATAAGCACCAACAGTTTTGCTTTTAAAACACAGATAGAGGGGAAAAAAATAAACATAATAATCCCATTTGCCCTCAACCTAGACAGATAAGGAAATTCTCTCAGCTAAACCCCTTCCAGAGAAACATTTCTCTTTACGGAACTGAATTACTGGCTTGAAATGTGAGGTGTTTGGCTCCAGCCTGCACAGGGGAATTATGTTTATAAGGACATTTCCTGAAGAAATATCTAAGGAAGTAAACAAATTCACATGGTGCCACCAATATTGAACTCCACCTTCTGCTGTGGTCACTTTCTGCTGGGGGGGTGCTTTTTCAACCCAGATATTCACTGATTACTTGAATTAAATAAAGCACACAAAAATACAGTCATATTTAACAATTTTAAAAAATAAAAAGCATTAGGTCTAACCAACCTGATTTTGCTGGAAGCTAGTCCAAAACAGGAAGGAAGGGATGTTAAACACTTTTGGCTAATGCTTCCCGGGGTCAACTACAGCAGGTTTCACTATTGTGAAACCTGGCTGCAGGATTCCCCCAGCAATAGCCCTGGGATAAGCCCTGAGATTTCAGGGATTTTTGAGAACCATCCTACAGTATTTCTGTCTTTTGAGTGGAAGAAACTAAGTGGTACAGGCAAAACACAGCTGAAACAGACAGGAAAAAAAATAAAAATAATTCCAAGATAAACAATGCAGCAGAATGTGAGACTGAACTGCACCTCAGGATGTCACAGTCAGCTGCATGCTCAATCACATCTGTGAGGACCCAAGGCCAGGAAAGCAATGGCAGTGAAGGCAACACATCACACAGAGGTCAAGCCAGGCATGGTGGCCCTGCAGAATCCAAAGGCCTCATTCCAGGATTCTGATGAAGACTGCTAGGGTTAAAAAAGGAAACAGATTGCTAAAACAAATTCAGCTCATTTGAACACTTAAGCTCTTCAAGTCTTTTCCAATTTAAATATTACAACCATGTGCCTGTGATGCTCTTGAAACCACACCAGGACGCCCAAGTTTTCAGATTAACTTTGCCTTAAATCTGAATCCAAAGAATTCAGAGTAGCTTCTTCTGCATGAAGAAATTTTAGGGGACTGGTGGTGTTGTGTTGTTCTACTTACTTCATCTTAGTAGCTCAGTTCAATTACTATTTCAATTGCAGCTGAAAAAACAAAAATGAGCTTTTACTTCCAGGAGGCCCAAGTGAACCAAGAAGGCTTCAAGAACAGCCAAAACATCTCAAAAAGCATCTTTTAAATAGGGCAGTGCTTTCAGGTACAGTTAACTGAGGATTATATTCTGGAAGGCTAATTTGCACAGCACCTAAGACTCCAGCAACAGAGAAGGTAATAAACACACAAATCCAAGGTGGATCTACACCTTGGATCATCACAAGATTCATGGACAAGAAGTAACCTACAAATTCCTAAGATGGATATAAAGGGCAATTATAAATTTCACTGCCAGCAGCAAACATCCTCCAAGTTCAAAGACTTGAAATAAGCTTGTAAACAATTTTTATTACACAACTAAACCTTTCAGTGTTAAATAAGAGAAGCCCTAATGCACTCTGGGCATCGGGTTTCTAAGCAGCAGCTTGCTACGAGGACCTGGTCATTTTTTACACCTTTCACTACAAATGGAAGTGTTGAAGACAATGTGCATGGACAAGAACACGTGGAAGGAATCTGCCAGCTGACCTCCCCTGCTATGTAGCTCCTACTGTCATTCTTCTCATTCCTCAGGATTCCTCTTCCTGTATACTGAGAAAAGCTGCCATTTTTTAACCACTGTTACATAGGGAAAAGGCAATTTGCCTTTTACAGACAACACTGGACCCCACTACCTAAAGTCTTGGGGTTTTGCAGTAATTTGCTGCAATTTGAAAGATAACCTTGGAGGTTGCCATGAACAGTGTGGCAGGAGCTCAGTGGCTGCTGGTATGAAATTCCCATTCAACTTCTCCCAAAGCTCTCCACAGTGCCTGTGTTTCCACACTGAGATCTGATGGAGTTCAGACATGGACGTGGAAACACCTGATCCTAATTCTTGATTCCATCCCATCAGCTCAGCAACAACTCAGGTGAACAATGTCTTTCTACTCCTGGGGTTTCAGGATGCACCAGGTTTCCCTTCAGAACTCCTTGGACTTGTTGCTACAGTACCCCTGATTTTTAGAAGCAGTCTCATTAGCAGTCAAATACTAAAAGCACTTTGCTTCAGAGATTAGAGAAGTCTTAATGTATTAAGCATGGGAAGGGCAAAAAATAGCCTAAGACAAACTGTCTTAAGTTTACAGAGATAATGAAGGGAACGGCTGGGAGGGAACACCAGCTTCTGCAGCATTCCCACAGCAGTTTCCATTCACAGCAAAGCCAGCAACTTGCACTTTTGTGTTTTTCCACACTTTATGTGCCTTCCACGCTGCCCGTGGTCAGAAGACCACAACCAAAATGAAAAGCTGGCACAACTCAAGAAAATGTGAAATAAAAAAAAAAAACCCTTAACCCCGAAACAACTAGAAAGCCCTTTGTTCCTACAGTGGCATTTTTTTTAAGCCTCTAAAAGCCAAAACTAATCATCATGTTCCTCAGACATGGAAACTCCCCTTTCTCTGAGAACATTCAAAACACTTTTCCTGCCCAGGAGCTGCTGGGAACGATGTTCAAGTTGGATGCTCTGCTCCATTAATCAGGCCATCCTCATGTCCACATTCCTAAAAACTGTGACTTCAGCTCTGCATATTCTACAAGCTGCATCATTTTATCCTGAAGTCACTAGGAAAAAGATTAGAACAGATTTTTGCAAGCAACCTGCATGCTCAAGAACAATTATAAATGAAGCATGTAGCATGTGTTTTGTTGTGAATCCTGAATTTCATCATCTCACTATTATTCACTTGCTTACTTAGCCCTGCTTAATATTTAATCCCAGATCACCCAGCCTGGGAAAGCCCTCACTTAGGATAAGATGAAACCATTGGAGAAGCTTCCAGATGCCCAAACTGCCTTCACAAATTGCCTATATCACTATCTATGGCACATGTCACTCTGTCAAAGGAAAAAAGAGAACTATTCTGCTGCCTCATGATATTTAATGACCACTGGCAATTCTTCCTGTCTGCAGCTCCCAAAGAATGTGAACCAAGTGCTTTGAAGGCACAGCAAGCAGGCAGAGGCTCACCTCACCCACACAGGATTCCAACTGGAAGCTCCCAGTGCAAGGAGCCACTGGGAAGAATGGCTGTGGACCATTAAATAAAAACTCCACCAGCAGGTCTGGCTTGACACAAATTCTGTTGAATGTTTCCAGCACAGGCAGCTGACCTCAGGCTTGTCAACGATACATTGAAGTTGCTGCAGGGCCTCCATCCCTTCGCCACAGCAAATCCCAAAGGCCTCTGCCCCACAGAGCTCCCCAAGCACCTGCAGGACCACTGGACAACACAGCTCAGCAGCAAAGCAGTCATCTACAAGCCTTGCACCATAAGAACTTCTACCTACATGTCGACATCAACTTTCCTAAAAGACAGAAATATGTGCACTGCATGCAATTTATCTCAAACAGCTGGATAAAATGCTTCTTGTATCAACTTCAGCAGGAATAAGATGCAGAGTGCTGCCTAACCGTGGAAAAAGCTATCAGCATCCTAGCCCAGCCCTTCCTTGAAGCTATCAGACCCTTCCTTCCTGCCCAATTTCTAACAGAACTGTAGATATATTGCTTGGAAGCCAAACTGCTTAGAAACCAAGCTCAAAGAAGAGCTGAAAAACTTCGAGTGGACTTTTCTGTGGACACCACTCAAAAAAAAAACCAAAGCAGAAGTGAATGTTCAGCTGGACAGCTTACAAGATTAAAACCGCTCCAGAAAGCACCCCCGTGTGACTATACATGCAAATTAGGGGCTCCCAGCCTCACCAGCCTTTTCCAACGACACCCACCTGAAAATCCTAACACCGGACAAAACCCAGTTACTAATGCTCCCCGGGGCTTGTTTCTGCATTGCATGGGACCAGGGCGGCCTGCAGCTCTGGAGAAAACGCCTCTCAACAGCTCAACACCCGGGGTTCTCCGGCACCTTCGCCTGGCTGCACCTTCACCTGCTTTACCTGCTTTACCCTCTCTCCAAGACGGCCCGTTCCCACCGCTGGGCGCGCCAGCACCTTGCCAGCCACGCAGCCACGCTCCAGCCCGCCTCGGGAGCCTCACGCCGGGCTGGCCGGCAGCATTGCCACTGCCCGGCTCCCCTCTCCACCACCGCGACACAGCACATGGCTCACAGCACCCGCAGTAGCCCCTGGGCCTCTCCCTTCGGGATAGGGCCACACCAGGCGCTCGCAGGGAGCCCCCGAGCCCTGGGGGAAAGCGGGGGGCGCTGGCCCCGCACCCCGGCTGGCAGGGCGGCCCGGGGCCGAGCCCCGCCACGAGGTGCTGCCCCTGCCCGGCTCTGCCGCAGGGCCGAGGGCGGGGGAGCCGGCAGCCGGCTGGAATTATGAAACCGGATCGGCAGGGAACCCCCCCGGGGCCTCCCCCGCGCCGTACCTCGGAGACCTCCTCTTCCTCCTCCTCCTCCTCCTCGTCTTCCTCCTCCTCCTCCTCGTCGCTGCCGTTGTTGCTGCTCTCGCTGCCGCCGCCGCCGCTCTCGCTGCTGCTGGCCGGCCGGGCGGCCCGCCCGCCGCGCTTGGCCTTGCCCGGCACCGCCTTCTTCTTCAGCAGCAGGTCGCAGACCCGCACCAGCCCGGCCGCCCCGGGCCCGCCCGGCGGCGGGGGCCCGGGGGACCGGGCCCCGCCGTGGCGCTGCCAGCCTCGCCGCCGCCACCCTCGCCGCCTCCCTCCTCCGCCGTCACCGCTACCGCCGCGCCGACCGCCTTCTCCATGGCCGGAGAGGAGGGAAAAGAGGAGGAGGCGCCCGCGGCCGCCGCTGCCTCGGTCACCTCTAGCGCCGGCGCCGCCGCCGCGCCAACTCTCGCGATACTTCCTGCGGCCACCGCTCTCGCGCCGCTCTCGCGCGCCGCCCCCCTCGCACCCCCCTCGCGCGGCGCGCGCTCCCGCTGTGCCCTCGCGCCGCCCGCCCCGCGCTGCCCGCGCGCGCCCCTTCCCCGCTGCCGGCGACGGAACCGCGGCGGCGGCCGGACAGCCCGGCACCCGCCTTCCCTCCCTTCCCGTCCTTCCCTTCCTCCCTTCCTCCCTTCCTCCCTTCCTTCCTCCCTTCCTCCCTTCCTTCCTCCCTTCCTCCCTTCCTTCCGCCCGCGCCGTCGCCGCGCTCACCGCCCCGGCGCCGGAACCGCCGCCTGTGTCATCACCCTCAGCCCGCTGCGCCTCGGTAAGGGCGGCGGGAGCCTCGGCGTGGTCCCCGCCGGGAGCCTTGCCCGAGAGCCGCCCGCGGGCTCGGAGGGGCCCGGTCACCCCCTCAGCGCCCGGCCGGGGCAGCGCTACCGCCGGAGCGTGAGGGAGCGCGCCCAGGGCGGGAAATCCCGTGAGGGAAGGCCCGTGTGGGAACCGCGCGACGCTCAGAATTCCGCTTAAAAGTGATGGTCTCTCGCACATGCGGGCGATACGCGTCAAAAAAGCAACCTCCAAACGCCTCTTATAGCAGGAATTGGCAGGGGGTGTGGATAAAAGGGTCAGAAAATAAATTGGCAGGGTATCGCTAGAAGTGGTGGCCAGTGAAACCGTGGAGCGCAGAATTCCAGGTAAAAGCGATGTCAAAGGAACAACGGGACGTGGCAGCCAGCGGTGGTCTGTGGTCTTTCCCAGCCTAAGTGTTCCTGGGGTTCTGTGTTGCGCGCCCTTCGTTCCCACCAGGTGCTTCGCATTCCTCCAAATCCCTGCTTTGCAACAATTTTTATGCAATTTCACTAAAAGTGACAAACATTGAGAGGCCCCTGTCAGTTCGAGCGTGTGTCTTTAGTGAAACCCTTCAAATGCGTCGTCGTGCCCTGGTTCAGCCCTCAGGCCCCCTGCCCCAGATCTTCATCCCCAAAGTGTATCTGGGATATTAATACTGTTGCCTCCAGTAGGGCAGTAGCCAAAGTTAAATGTATGTTAAATGTAAGTTAAATATTTATATTGTGGCTTCCTTATTGAAGGAATGGGCTTTGACCATTGTTCTGGAATTGGTGTTTCCAACCAACAATGCCTGTTCTGGTTATAATGTACAGAAATGAAAAGAAATTGTTGTTATTTGTGTACTTGGGTGTTCTCTCTTATTTGGCTCATGTTGGAGAGCACCGGTCAGGTGTGCAGCTCCTCTGAAATCACACATTCCTTTTTTAAATAAATCCTCACCTGGCGCTCATCGTGGAGTCTGCACAGCTCCCCCCAGATCCTGGCGTTGCTGAAATCCCACCAAAACATCCTGATGCCTGCCTCTGGATGTGCCTAATGAAAGGACTACCCGGGTTGTCAGAGCCCCACTGTCAAATTACATTATTTCCAAGTCAGCTGGGAACAACTGGCACAGACTCTTACCCTTCCCATCGAGAAGATGAACCTCTAATCTTTGGGTACAAGGGCTATATATTATTATAGGTCTATATGTTATTTATTCCTTTACAAATATCTGTGCAGATGACTGTTTGATGCAATCCAGGAGGAATAAGCTCTAGCCCCCTACCTCCAGCTTCCTGGTGTGACTGTGCAGGAATCTCAAACCACACCAGCACGAGATGTGTGATGGCAGATCAGTGACAATAATACTTTTGTCCTCTTATAATTTTTTTTTCATTACAATTAATGCAAATGCGTTGATTTTTACTGGTTTGTGTTGTGGTGCAAGCAGAGATTAAACCTTTGACATATGTGTTCTTCAGCATTTATGTTATGTATTATTTGTTGTCATGGTGCAGATGCTCCACGTTCACCCAGCCGGGCCCGGGAAGGGCGGCTGCAGAGCGGGGCTTGCCCTGGGAGCTGTTCGCTGCCCTCTCTGTCCCTTCCCGGGATGGTGTGCGGTGGGGAATGGCCCGAGGGAACGCGGGTACTCTCAGCCACATTGTATCACAAATCCGCCTTTGATGCTGGCTGCACTCGCGCCTCATTCCAAGTATCCGTTCGGGTTGTTAGACTTGGAAAGGCTGCGGCTTGTTGCTGGTGAAGGCAGCCGTAGTGTTTTGTCTCCGTGTGGCACTGTCGGACAGGCAGCCTGTCGGACACTGTGTGTGCCGCTCCTTTTACGGGGTGACCTCTGCTCTGATCAAAGAGTGATCCTCATTCGCCACTGCAGAGCAAGTCCTTTTCCTCCATTTCACAGCACCCCGGTTATCCCCCTCTCCCTGCCCCCCTAGCTGGAGCCTTTTGTGCTGGAGCCCTTCCACAGAAGGGCAGTGGAGCTGGGGGCTCAGCCTGGAGAAAAGGAGGCTCAGGAACTCTAGAACTCCCCCTAGACAGGAGGGTGCAGCCAGGTAGAGGTCGGGCTCTGCTCCAACAGAACAAGGAACAAGCCTCAGGTTGTGCCAGGGGAGGTTCAGGCGGGAAATGAGGAAGAATTTATTCGCAGAAAGGGTTGTCAAGCATTGGGAGTGCCCAGGGAAGGGGTGGAGTTACCATCCCTGGAGCTGCTCAAGAGACAGCTGGATGGGGCACTCAGTGCTCTGGTGTGGTTGACAAGCTGGAGATTGGTCACAGGCTGGACTCGATGGTCTTGGAGGTGTTCTCCATCCTAAATGACTCTGAGATTCTGTGAGTGCAACAGCAAGCAAAGCTCTTGAATTCTTTAGAGAAACTCAGTTTTAGAACCGTGGGGCTCATAAGATTTGATTTTGTCATGGGCAAAAGCTGCTAACACAACTCTGCTCCTAATCTTGGGATGGTTTGAGTGCCTTGGGAAGGTGTGACATTTCTCCAGCACTTTATATTTTAGAAACCCAAAGGAAAACATTCCTGTAAATACTATGAAAATCACCAAGACATAATGAAGGAGTAAATAATCCAGATTTTTTATTAGTTTTTTTTTTTGTGTGTGTGTGTGTGTGTGTCCCAGTTTCCACAAGGGTGTATGACCCATTGCTGTGTTTCCTGTTCATAAGGCTCTTAGGGAATGGATTGCATATCATGAAAAGTCAGTGTAGGCTCTAAATAGGGCAGTAATACCTAAAAAACACATTTCCTTCCCTGCCGAGTCTGTGAAGTTGGTTAACTTTGGACACTTGGGTTTATAGGCAGCATAAAGCTGCAGGAAATTGTGGAATCATAGAAGCACAAACGGGTTTGGGTTGGAAGGGATGTTAAAGATCACCTAGTTCCAGCTTCCTGCCATGAGCAAGGACACCCTTGACTATCCCAGGTTGCTCCAAGCCCTCTCCAGCCTGGCTTTGGACACTTCCAGGCATGGGGCAGCCACTGCTGCTTTGGGCAACCTGTGCCAGGGCCTCACCGCCCTCCTAAAGACTGAGAAAAATTGCAACCCTTTGTTATCTCTTTCATCTGTGATTTCTGCTTCTGTTTATTCCATTTCCTCCAGGTTATTGATCATTCCACTGAGCATTCCACAGGCGTAGTGGGAAAACCTGGGGTCTGGCTTCAGTGAATACTTTCAGGAACTGTCTTCTGTGTGCCAGATTCCTTAAAATGTTCTAAAGGATAAACAATGTGTTGAAACCTCTGCTGTGGTATAATTACCCTCATGGATCTGCTTTCAGTTTCATTTACAGCTGCTGGAAGCAGTGTCATTGTCAAGGTCAGGAAGCAGGGAGCAAGGGAGCATGAGTTTTGTTTGCAATTAATATAGGGACTGAAAAGAGGTTATAACTTCTTGAATTTTTGGTACAACTTCCACAACGCTACCAAGTTGATAATCCAAATAAACTTCAATCCAAACCCCAAATCCTGCCATTCTCACTGATGAACGCTTTTGTTGTCTTTGGTATGTAGAGTTTTGCCATCGTTGCAGCTTCTATATGTGCTGGAATGTTTTTATTTCTATCATTCAGGGAACTGTGAACCCCAGATTGGATTGTTTCAACACACAGACTAAAGGGACTCGCTCACGGGACCTCCCTGGGGCCCAGCATGGAAGATCCGTCTGAAACGGGAGGTAAGATTAACTACCATTAGACCACCATGACTGATTTTAAACAGAAGTAACAGAACTGAAGTTGTTCAGCAAGCATGCAATACCTGCTGTCCAAGGCAAAGGGAGAAAGAGGGAAAAGAACACAAATGTTCGAACATTCAGAGAAGTGCAGTTGTCCCTGATACGCATTTTAGCCTTGTCTAAACCACTCAGTTTTAATCCCAGTAAATTGCACGTGGAAAAGAATTATTTAGAACAGATCTTATGTAGCCATATAATTTGCTTTAAATTACGTTTATTAATCATCTGCATTTCTTCATTACAGCGAGTTTCCTGTGAGCATCTCAGGTGGTGTGGCCTTGCGAGTAAAGAAAATAAAAACAGTCCAGACAGATGGAGAATTCAAGAGGTGCAGCGCTAGCCCAGGAGAAGTGCATAGAGTTGCAGCAGAAGGTAAATTTACATTACTGCTCACACTCAAACCCCTCCAGTCTGAAAGCTCCTTTGGGATCAGCTTCTGCCTGTTTGGTGCAGTAAGGCAGGTGATTTGCTCTTGGCTGTCCTTATCCGTGATCAATGTCATTGGAAACACACAGACATATCCCACTCAGGTGCCTTGAGAATCGTTTGTGCTCCCTCTCAGATACTGGTGGTGCGTGTTCTATCAGCTGCTCTTAGAACATCATGCCAGCTTTGACCACTTCCTCACAGGGAGAACTGTGAAAGGAAAAACAGGTACAGAACACAAAACCTTTCAACAATTGATTCAATGAAGAAATCTGCTAGAGCTCTGTTAAAAAAAACAAAACAGTGGTTCTGTAATATATTCAGTACTTTGCGAGTCTTAGGTAAGAAATAGCTTAAGCACTTGAAATCCTAAAATGCATTACTACTCTGTGAGCCTTACATGTTAACATGCATAAATTATTCCAAAGGTGTGTTTCAGGATCCTAATTTGCTTGAAAAGCTTTCAAAGTTTTTATCCTTTCTTAGTATAAAACGGAAAAACACCATGGCAAATAGAGGCAAACGGCATCTGGACAAGATTCTGGATTCTTGCTCATTCTCTTCAAGTGTGGTCACAGGTAACATAAAACAAAGACAAGACAAATCATACAATAAAGTGAATTTTTTGTGTATTTCAGGTATAAGGGATCTGTAATCCAAAACTCTAAATGAGACCTCTCAAGCCAAAGCCACATCACCTATATTTGAATATTAAAGGTTACTTGTCAAATTAGTATTTTGCTGTTTTTATAAATTTTATTTTTTACTTGCTGACATTTAAAGCAGCATCAGCTGTGGGCTGCACAGGAGTCAGCTAGAAGGTTAAATATTTCTTACACTCTGTGTTTTGCCTGGGTTCAGCCAATCCATAATGATAATTTCTATAGAAACCACTTTTTAAAGTCAACAATTGATTTGTTCTGAAATTAGTCCTTGAAACAGCTTTTCCTAGAGCAGCTTGGAAGATCTCAATGCAAGCAGCTTTCTACTGGCATGCAGAACAACAAGACTCAGGCTGTTTTTTCTCTTCCCATAGAGAGTGTGTCTTGAAAATATTTATCCTCCCAGGGTAGTTTTATCTCTGGATAAGGAAGGGAGTGAGAATCTCCATGTAAAACTCGCTAAGACCTTGGATTCAGTGAAAGCAGTGTAAGAAATGCCTTTGGTATCTCAGAAAGGCACTTGAAGCAGTAGAAGAACATTTTTACAGAATTCAAATTAGAACTAGAAAAACTGTCCACAAGTTTTTGATGGTCTAAAATTCCCGTGAAGCCTCTGTTTTCAAACAGAGCCTGCCCTCACTTGTTGCCTGTGTCTGTTTCATTATCGGCTGCATATTGTGGATCCTGCTCTGCTTCAGGGGCCCTGGGTTCTTAGAAACAGAGCTCGATGTTGCTGTTATTGCAGCTGGACTCAGTGGGTGGCGCTAAAGGCCGGCACCACACCTGCAGCTAAAACCAACCTGATTTTAGCTCTTCCCAATGCTCTGGAAATTAGTTTTCACCAAAACATTTAATTCTTAAATATTTATGTCCTGAATTTTTTTTTTTTGACAGGAAATATGAAGTGATTTTTTTTTGTGTGTAATTTATGTCCAGCGGGCTAAACAAGCATTTCTGTCTGTGTGTGGCATTTACAATGCCACTGACTTTATTGCTAGCTAGTTACAAAGGTAGGAGCTGCCTTGAATATCTCTGTGTTCCTCAATTAGTGACAGAGCTTTTCAATAAAGAGAAAAAGTGCTGGTGGGGTGAATTTTCTTTTTGTCACTTGGCATCCTCTTACTTTCTTCTTCATGCCTCTGAGTTCATTTATACTTTTTTAATGAGAAAATACCTCAAATGCCAAACTTATAACTGTCTAGTGAGTGAGCCTATGAGTGTCTTGAAAGGTAAATCTGGATCTTTTATTTTCATTCATTAATTCTGATGCACAGCCCCAGCTCAGTTTTCTCAAGTGTGTAATTTTCAATGATAGACAAGATATTAATTTCCAATACTTAACTTTTCAGAACTCAGAACTCAGTTTGAATACAAACTCCAGAACTCAGTTTGAATACAAATTACCAGGCTTACCTTCAGACATCACTACAGTCTCTCCATGCACACCAAAGCTCTTAAATGCTGCTTGATTTCAGTGAATTTTAAGGCTTGGATTCAGCAAAGCACTTCACATGCAACATTCACGTATCCTAATTCCAAATCCTGCACATCTCTTTGTTAGATAGTGACTGTCACAAGCCAGAAAAGCATTCCAGAATGTCTGGAGTGCTTTATCAGCATTACCTCATATCTTAGGGAACTTCTCACATTGTGTATTTCTGATGTGTTTCTTTAATTTAAAAAGACTCCTGTAAGGAGAATGCAAACATTCTTCAAGAAAACTGCCTCCATAAGCATTGCACAAATAATATGCAGTAAGAGCACCAAACAAATCACCCATCATTACTAATCAACAAGCCGAGAATTCTCGCCATTATTAATCCAACCCCCGTGAGGGCTGATATCTTTTTTCTCTTTTTTAGACACATCATTGTGGCAATTCTCTGTGATTGTCACTTTCTTTTCCCACAGGAACATGAAAATTTTCTCAGTTTTGAGGTCTAGGGCCTCTGTGCAAATAGTTCTCTTGCCAGTAGGTGGCAGATTTCTCCTGCCTGAGAGCTTGGAGAATGCTTCATCGGGCTAGTTCTTATGGAATGCTGATACCTGTTTATTCAGGACACAATGTAGCTTTCCCCGTCAGAGCCCCCGTTTAGGAAGAGATTAGGCTTGAACATAATTTTTAGAGTAATCTGGATATTACCTAGGCTAGACTTGCTTTTGCAGGTACATGTCCTACTCATCCAGTAACCAATCTAAAAACATTTCTGTGATTTGGTGTGAAATAACTTGCTTAAAATATTGTAGGGAGGGTTGAAAATCTGCGTGGAAAGATCCAAGATACAATCACCCTTTGATTAAACTCGGTTTCCAGAGAAATCAGGCAAGTTTTGGCACTGGCTTTGACGTGACCAGAATTAGGTCAATGCTGAACATATTTCAAAATCCTGCACAGAGGGCCTGGTAACCTTAGTGAGTTGCCAAAAATCTCCTTAAGCAATATCAGTGCCCAAGAGACAGGAGTCTCTGCCTAAAGTGCACTTACATACTAAAAGCAGGAAGGGAAAACCTGATTTCCCTTTCAGAAGGGGAAGCAGGTAGGTTGCCTACCTGATAACAAAGAATCAAATAAAATAATCTTGCTTTTGTTTGAAAACTAACTAACATAATACACAGAAGTTCCTTGGCAAGCCTATTCTCAATCTCAATTTCTCCACACAATAATTTTTAATTCCAATGTTATGTTGTTCTGGATTGAATTTTATGACCAGCTTGAGTGTGAAGTTTTCTTCTTGTGGGTGGACAGGCAAAATAACCTAAGCCCATGTCAGTGGAGTTTCTGTTTTGTGGCAGTGGGATAGTGGGAATGACATGGAACATTCTATAGCCATGAGTCTCTGATGGCACAATCCCAGGGTCCTGGGGGAACTGGATGATGTGGCCTCCAAGCCACTCTCCATCACCTTGGAACAGTCACAGTCACCAGGGGAAGTCCCCAGTGACTGGGAAGAGGGAGACTCTTGATAAGAGGGGTAGAAAGCAAGACCCATGGAAGCACAGACCGGTGAGCCTACCTCTGTGCCGGGGAGGACCTTGGAGCAGATCTTAAGGAATCAATGTTGAGGCACATGCAAGACAGAGAAGTGATCCAGGACAGCTTCATTAAGGGCAAATTGTGCCTGACCAAACTGCTCCCTTCATGATCATCAAATCCACCCAATAACCCAGCACTGGCAAGTGCACCAATGAAGTGTGTAAGTTAACTGAAAATTTTTCACTTGAAACATGAGAGTACTGATAAACTTCCATAAAATCCAGTTACATTTCCATATTGGCTCTGACAAACCTGCAGGGAGGGCAGGCTCTGTACTAGAGAGATTTCTGTCAAGTGATACAAGAACATTTGTATTCTGGCATGTCAAAGGATCCATGCCAGAACTCCTCCTTGCTGACAGCCAAGAGGCTGCAGTGCCCAACAGTGCAGCAGGACCTCAGAAACCATGAGACTTGCATTCATAGCAGACTCTCAGCATTTTCAGGCTTCCTGGGCTCACCAGCAACAGTGTCCTCAGTCTTGACTTAGCACTAGGCTGTCCTCTCTGCCAGAAGGAACTGGGAGAAATTGGGTTCAACACATAATTTGCCCAGCTTCCAATCTGCAGTCCAGGGAGCCAGGAATCTGCCTAGATCTGCACTGACTTTAAGGGAAGCCTTAAGCCTCTTTGCCCTGGGAATAGCTCCAGTGCCTAGACACCCACTCTGTTTTCCAGCACTCAGAGTCAAGGAGGAAAGCCAGAATCCCAAGTTCACACTGAACTGAAGGTACCAGAGAAGGGCACTATGACACTAATTGTTCTAATTTAATTTCCCGAGCTATTTTTTAGACTTGTGGATAGGCTGTGGATATGCCTGACTGGCAATATTGCAGCGCTGTTGGTATGAGCAAAAAAGGCCTTTGGGCAGAAAGCAAATGTCAAGGACTGTCAGCATGGGGCTGGAGGGCACCACAGAGGAATGCCCTTGGGAGTGTAGCCTCTGCCTAATTGATCCAAAAGACAACACCAAAAGCTTCATGTGCAAAGAGTTTGTTAATATTTCTTTGCATGGCTTAAGGATTCTCAGTTTAGTGTTCAAATTTAAAAACTCAAACCAAACATCACAGCTATTTGGGCTTTGCACAGCCACAGATCTGCCTGATAGATCTCCTTAGTTCCTCTGATGTATGCACTGATCTTTTGATAACTTATTTAAGAAAACCACATGAACTATAAAGATCTTTGCTAAGCTCAATCGCAGGTTTTGGTCTCTGATGAAATTTTTCTGATTCTGGGAATGTACTGAGGAACCTTTCTTCTAAAATCAGGTGTTCCTGAAGGCCCTCAAAGTCAGAGAGACTGAATTACAAATCCCAGTCATTCACCCCTTCAAAAATGAGAGTTTATAAGCACTACTCTAAAGAAAAACCAACAAATAAACCAAGCAACATTTCCTCAGTTTTGTATTATTTCTAGTCACTTCCTTAACTCTAGGAATCCTAGGTCACCAGAATTACATGTTATAGTGCAACAAATCCAGGTAAAGGAGAACATGGGAAGGAAAAGAGCAACCTGAAGAAAGACAATGTTTTGTTGCAGCTACTGCTGCAAATCCAGTTCTCTTCTAAGAGATCATTACATCCTGGTAATATCATTGGCAATCTGGAAGTACTGAACCTGGAACTACAAGCCAGAGCTCACCTAATAAATGTGGTCTGCTTGAATGCTGCTTGAAAAACAATTGATTTTTACAACAGAAAAGTACTGGTACTTGGATCTGACTAAATGAACTTGGCTTCACAGGCTAAGGCAGAATGTGGAAATATTTCACCTTGCCTTTGGATTTCACTTACGGGGACAAGATGCTTCACATTTCATTTGTGGAACCTCAGAATTTGTGATTGCAGCATAATGTGCAGAAGTGGACTGTCCTTTTATGTCAGCAAGTAAACGACAGTGCCAAATTTTAAAATGTCTTGTCCTGCCTGCTCCAGTAACGAGGACGTAAAAATGGTTCTACAAACTTTTCTGCTCCTGCTGAGGTACCACCTGAGGCCCTGACTCTCAGCTAAAGAAATTGCAAAGACAGCAGGGGATATTTGAGGTGGAAAATGCTATTCTTGCTCCAGGACTTCATTTAAAACTACTATATTTTCATTTTTCAAAGTTGTGAGGGCTTTATCTTAAGAAATTGTTTGCTCAGGAATAGAGGAAAGGCTGAGAAAAGAATCACTCCCTTTATGTCCTTAATGCTTGAACATTTACAAGTTGTCTTAAAGAGATGAACTAGGATCTTCCCAAGAAAGAAACCAACAAAAACACCCCAAGGCCATAACAGAAAAACCAGCACAAGAGAACAATTATAGTAGTAACACAGTCTGTTTCTATGGAGATGGACATGAAGGAGAAAATATTTACCAGCTTGGCAGTTTTTATGCCAGAATGGGAAACCCCTACGTTTACAATGAAATAAAATGGAAAATAAGGCAAGTAAGAGTGTCAGCACTGCCAGGTGATGCAGTAACATTGTGGGGGGACCTGCAGAATGGCAGAAATTTTCCACAAGTCCTACAGTGCCTCTAGACATACAGGATTTTTTTAAACTGCTGAAGTGTTTCAAGTTGAGAGCAAAACATGTGACTCCCAGAATCACTGATTTTACATATGCTTTGTTTCTGATTTTAGCACATACACCTGCTTACACTTAGCAAAGAAGTTAGTAGACATTTTTTTTTTTTTAATTGAAGGTTACGGATCAATGGCCCAAAGAAATGCAAAACAAAAAGATGCTCCAAACATTTCCTGCTATTCCTCAAAAGTTTGCATTATTTCTTTTATTGCTAAAGCACATCAAACTTAGGAAAGGAATAATAACAATTTCTTGCCAAACAGAAGCTTTCAACTTAGGCTCTTGACTGTACCACATTAAATGGCTCTTCTCTCCTGCCAAAGGCCATCAGGTATCATAGCAGAGCAGCACAGCAATTGGAAACTGAGTGCCAAAGAGTTTCTAGGGCACAAGTGAATGCACTGGATTCCAAAGGTCTCTGGGAGTTATGTAAGAGGAAGAACATAGATCTCCACCAATAGTCCTACCATGGACCAAACATCAATCACAGCACCGCAACAATTTCAGTTCCAGAGACAATTATTAAAGACATTATAAGAAATACTGAAGAAAAATCTCTTCCTGAGAAGGACTTCCTGAATAGAGCAATGGTGCACCTCGGGTATTTCTTTCCGGCATCTATTTACTATTTAGATACAAAATTTAGACATGCCCATACCAAGATATAGCACTGATTTTTGTTGAGGGACCTTAGAAATGGATAATAGATGAAGCCCATACTCAGCTGTCTTATGGATTACCTACTTGAACTGGCAGAGCAAAAAGTCACAGGGACATGGAAAGTAGAGACAAGTTATGAGAAGCCTCAGAACTGTTACCCTCACAAAGCACTGAAGGCTGTGTATTTGTATATATTCAGGAAATCGAATGCTTAATAGGCCAAGCAAAGCTGTTCTTGTTCCTGCTGCCAAAGAATGATGCTGACAAATGGTCATTAATAAGGGAAACAGCTACATCACTACACTGTGGACTTGGGAGACAAAGGGGTAGGGATGCCAGAATGGCCTAGGGATCAAGTGTACAGGATCAGCAAGAACAGTCATTCTTGTGGATTCAAAAATCCTTCTCTGAAGGATCAAGAGCTCACTAACACTGCAGGTTAACATCTGGCTGATGCCAGAGGATGAACAGGTGAGTACCAGAACTCACTGAGGACATGCTCACGAGACACACCTGACACGGAATGCCATTGGCTGCACCTGGGCAAGTCTCTGCCTGAAACCCCTTCTGTCTTTGTGTTTGGTTTGTATCGATGAGTCCATCTCTGCTCAAACAAAAGCCGTGTATCTGACATGTTTGACCCCTTCTGCACAGGAGCCAGACATCAGCGATAAGAATGGCAAACATCCTGCACCAGAGCAGGAAAATAAAGTGATGGCTGATACCTCTCCATGTGTCCAGAGCTACAGACATTTATTTAGAAATATACTGATCATTACAGTTATTAAAAAATAGCTACTCACTGTGGCCACTGGCACAGGAATGTCCTGTCTCTAGGTTTGCTGTGTGCCTCATGGTCCCGTCCCACAAACAGAACTATAGGTCTTGAAAAAAGGAAGAAACAGCAGTAAATAAAATCGAGGGCCCAAAAGTAAAGAGGTTCTTGAAGTCCTTTGGGTTCTGAGAGATTACTTGGAAAAGTACCAACTTCCCAAAAGGGCTCTGACTGCTGTTCTCATGATACATCACGTTTGTTTCTCAAGAGCCTCATTCCATATTAGTACACCTCGGTCCACTGTTTCTACTCTTCCACTTTGCACAGGCTGGTATGATGAAATATTTTAAAAGTATGTATCCTTTTTATTTCCAGGTCAATTACTCTTGGAATTATTGTCCTTTGGTTCCCCACACCTGGAATAAAACTAGTTATCACATGTAACTTTAGACATAAATGAGTGTGAAAATGGATCATCCTAAAATGCCATTGATAAATTCCTTTTTCTAAAGCCAGGACAACTGTTGTAGTGAAATCAATGCAGTATGAAAGCACAGAGTAGCAAGAAACTCAGTATACTATTTAATATTGTTAAACAAACATGAGCCCTGGAGTTCAGCTCTCAGCAGTTATATGAACCATTGGCATGAAGTACAGGACAGACAACAGAAGATATCTAGAAATAAACATGGACCCTGTATTCCAAACTTACATATTAACTCCAGGGGACCAGGAGTATTCTTGCTAACACTGCACAATGATGAAAAGGAAAATTCCAGAGAGCTTTCAAGAGGCAACATTGCAATCACAGTGCTGAATTTCAGCTTTGCCCTCCCAGCCCTTAGCTGAAGTTTTCTGGAGACTTCTTTGGTACGGCCTGAGAGCATCTCAAGAGCTGTTCTAAGACATCGTTCACAATACCACAGTTTTTTACCGCCTTACAGTTACCCACAAAATACCTAAATGTGTGTTTCTGTCCCACTGAATGCTCTCTTAAGATTTGAAGGGAGATGGCTCTTCTCTGACAGAAGGATATGATCAATAACATAATTACAGACTGAATTAACAAGCTCCTTCCCCAGATTTTATTAGGCTAAAGTAGCACGCGTCCAAAAGGTCCAGATTGCTCCTACACTCATCAATTCCCATCATTCTCCAGAAATGTGGGATTTTGCTACAAGCACCTGAAAACAATCCCCATGTCTAATATTATGATATTTCTAACATTGCTTTTCTGCCAACCTGGCTTTCCTGCACCATCCTTCATGTCAGAGTTATCCAAATAGCCTCTTAATTCCCAAAACAGAGCCTTGTTCATTTATATCACTAACAGAATGCTGCCTTTTACCTACAAAAATATCAGGAACAGACTCAGGAAAATGCAGACTTTTTTTTGGCAACAGGAGCAGCCTGTAGAAATTTAATTGTATCAAACTATTCTGTGAACTCATCTCAGTTGGAGAAAATAACAGCCTTTCTGGAACACAAGATGCATTGCCTAGGCATTTTCCTGAATGAAAACTGCCTGCAAATATTTTGAGCTAAGACATACCATTTGCCTTATTTCAAATGTCTTTAAAAGCTCACACTCAGAAGCAAAAGGAAGTATTATGCATGTACTTACTTAGTCAAATTTCCAGAAAACCGATCATGGAATTGTTCTTACTATTCCCATTAGGAATAATATGGAGTTATGGCAAAACTGCCCATCTGAGGAAGAAAAACGGAGTAAAAAAAAGGGAACTTTAAAGAGTAAGGAAGAGTTTAGAGAGCACACGCTCAGCCCTGCCACGTGGGTGCTCAAGAAGCAGAGCTGCAAGGCAGCACACAACCTCCAGCTGTGTGGGCTGATATCCACACACTGGGGACATCAATTAATTAAAATAAATGGAGGCATCTCCCGCTGGGAAGCTACATCACTTTGCACTCAGCAAGGATCCAGCCTTGTACTTGTTTGGGAATTTTTGAAGCATCTGTATCACTGTGTGCCCTGAAAAGTAATTTTGATTTATTCCATGTCCTGGGGCTCTGTGCAAACTGCACATTTTTCCTATGTCTGATCTCCTAAATTACTGACTAATCAATTGAAATTTTTCAGAGATGAGAGCAATCTTTAATTAAGAGATTACTCTTGGGAGGATGTGAGTACAAATGAGAAATTGCAAAAATTCTGAAATGAACAGCTCTTGTACATGTTTACCCATGTGTTTGGCTGTTTTCTGGGTATCAGTGAACACCAGTACCCACGGAAAAACAGAGCAGGACCCAACAAATTCAGGAGCTCAAAGCAGCCACACATGTCTGGATTAGCCATCTTGTCTCAATAAAGTGATTTAAAATTAAAATTCTCTAATTTCAGGTGGACTGAATGGTCTCTGGGTGAGCTGTTGCTATACAATACCAACATGCTTTGCTTTTGAACAAATAGTAGCAAAAAAAAAAGAGGCTACAGGATTAGCCCTGATGACTTTTTAGTCTGATGCCTTGAACTCCTTGTTTGTCATTTGATAAGGAAATTTACGCAAAACTTTATCTTTTTTGGGTGCTGGAAGGTTCAACCTCTTTGGGAAAAAGGCCCACAGTAACAACATAGAATAAATAACTAATACCAAATTAATTTTTGTCAAGGGCAGCTGAAGTTTTGTAATCTTCCTCAGGCCAAATGGCAATCCACAAATGCCAGCTTGAGGGTTAATATTTTACAAGCACGGGTAGTGAAGAGTATATAAGCAAATGCTCTTCCTTCAATCTTCCTAGCATTTTTGAGCAATTTTGCTCACATCATAATCTGAAACCATGAAGTGGTTAACATTAATTTCATTTATTTTTCTCCTGAGTTCTGCCAGATCCAGGAACCTGCAAAGAACTGCACGAGATGCAGGTAAGAAAGGACTAATTAGTTCTCTTGGAAGTCTTTTTTCTATCAATTTAATGTCTTTAATATAGTTTCACAAATAATTTGTGGGAGCCTGATCCATATTGAACAGAAATATGTCATTGGCTTGAAAATAAACTAAATGAAGAGACAGTGGGGAGATGGGTAGGGCACTCAGGACAAATGAACTGAGCAAGTGTGGTGCCATCCTTCTGCAGCATCTGTGTGGTGCATGAACTGATGTCAGTGAGTCAGGATCTGCTCCTTTCCACCATGGAAAAAGCAGCTGCACTGTGCTTTGGAAGTTCTGTCTTTTGACACGTTAATAACTGTGTTCAGAAGAAGAAGGTTTGCTCAAATCAAACTGCAGCTGCATTGCTTTATTTGCAGCGTTTGGGGGTGGTGGTTACCCAAAGGACACATGTGCTAACCCTCAACAGTAAGCCCCAAATAATTTTGAGTATCTGAATTAAGCAGCTGCTTAGAGAGGTAAATATTCTATTAGGATCATAAAAATCACAGGCTGGGGTTCCCTCAGACAAACAAGCAAACCTAAGAGTTGGGTACCTGTAGACAAATGAACAAGAAAGAGTTCAAGTTCTTCAGTTTTTAAGGCCAGAAGTCAGGTGAATGCTGCAGCTTGGTGAAAATGTGGCCCCTGGTGCCCAGAATGCATTTCTCAGGGCCCAGCACAGGCAGTGTGACAGCGAGCATCACTGCTCCCTCTGTTTTTCTTGCCAGACCACAAGAGCCCCATTGCCCACCGCTTCAACGACCTGAAGGAAGAGACATTCAAGGCAGTGTAAGTGAACGTTCGGCCTCCACCTTCTGGGTTTTTTGTCTAGCTTGATATTGTACCCAAAAGGGAAAGTAAGACACACTGTAAGAGCTCACAGGGAGTGTGTATGTCTCGCTGAAACACTGACTTAGCCCGTTATTGTTACTGCATAACCTAGAAACATTTTAAGACCTGCAAATGTCACAGTGACTTCCTTGTTCTCTGGGAAAAGAGCTCCTTGGAAACCTTGAGGAAAAGCCTCTGTTCCTTTTCTGAAAATAGAGAGGCATGAGGAATATAGGTTTGATATCCCTAGAATGAAGAGAAATCACGCTGCATTGGCAATACTGCCAGAAAAAAACCACAAACTACCAACCTCAAAAAACAAACCTGTGACAGGTTTTCTGAGACAATTCAGTGATCTTCATTTGAACCTGGTTTTGGGAAAGACAGATGGCCCTGACAGACACCTAAGTGCTGACAGAAGGCAGCCTGAAGATCATAATTGGTAACATTGGCCAAATCCAGCTTAGGTCATGGCAATTATGAGTTATGATTTATCTCTGGTAAAAGTGACAGAAAATTCCAATCACAGTTTCTCTAGTTTGTTTATAATTTAGTATTCAAGACTTTTTTATTGGGAAGGTAAACAGGTTATTGGGAAGGTTAAAGGTTAAAAGGTTATTGGGTTAAAAGGTTATTGGGAAGGTTAAAAACCTGTTCAGAGAGGAGGAGAGAACAAGACAGATGTGGGATCTGGCACTATTCTGTGCATGGTATTCTGGTGAACCTTTGTGCATGTAATTTGAACAAACCAGTTCAATTCAGAGGCACCTTTGAAAACATTGCCTGATGTTTCTCAGTCTGCTATTCCAAACTGTGCTTTGTGTTTCAGTGCCATGATCACATTTGCCCAGTACCTGCAGAGGTGTTCCTACGATGGACTGTCCAAGCTGGTGAAGGATGTGGTTGATTTGGCACACAAGTGTGTGGCTGACGAGGATGCTGCCGGCTGCTCTAAACCCCTGGTAGGCAGTGAATCCCTCACTACTACTGCATTCCTCATGGCTCTGTGCAGCTGCCAGGGTCACCCTCCTTGAGCACTGACACCTGAACCTTTCACGGGGGCTGCTGTCACAGGCCAATGCTCAGAATTCAGTGCTTAAACAAGGAACTTGGTTTTGTCAGGTTCTAAACCTCTGCCTTTAAGAAGTGCCTAAATGATCCATGGAGACATGCTGGAGACCAAATACCACACTTTGGCACATTCAGCTTAGCATTGCCTGAAAATAAGTGTTAGCACCCAGTACAAAACCCCAGCTGTGAGGTACAGGCCTCATTCTAGGC